GGTGTTTTGTTTTGTTTTGGTTTTCTGAGCCAGCATCTTGCTATGCTTGCCTCCCCATTATCTCACTGCTTCTGGAGGCCTTATGGCCCTTGAGGCCACGTGTCAGAGACTTCTCTCCCTTCCATTACTTGGTCCCCGCTGGTATTTAGAGTTTGTCATTACCTAGTGGGTTAGATGAGGTCACATTGAAGGGCTTTTGAACTTTCAATTAGGTTGTCTGATTTTTTTTCTTTAAAACAAAACAAAACTGTCAGAATTTCAACCATGGGGAAGACTTTCTGGCAGAGGCTTTCAAGTTCAATAGTTAAACCAGGTGTGGTAGTGCACACCCGTGAACACTCTGGTAGGCTGAGGCAAGAGGATCACAAGTTTCAGCACAATATGGGTAACTTAGTGACTCAGAAAGACCTTGACTCAAGATAAGAATAAAAAAGGGCTGGGGATATAGCCTTAGCACAAAGGCCCTGGATTCAATCATCAGCTAGCCCCCCAATTTAAAAACAGTAAAATTCAATAACTATTTGGAGATATACTATTACAAACCTTTTTTCTTTTAAAGAGGACAAAGAAAAAGTGAAAAGAAAGTGTGTCATAATGTGAGTGGGCTCTTGTGGTAGCATTTCCTATTAGTGTGGACAGAAATACTCAGCTGATATCAAAAATGCACTGTCGAGCGGTGAAATACATTGAGCTGTTGACACAAATCTGTCAACCATATCCCACCCCACTCCACACTAAGGTGATGGGGTCAAGATACGGGAACAGGATGTCAAAGGTCTAGCCACAGAATGGATAGAAACACCGTAAGTGGAAGAGAGCTATATGCTGATGTTATCCTTTTTTGCAGATGGTACCTTGAATCAAAGGTGTGGCAACACTCTAGTCTTTAATTAAGTGTCCCCACACCTCTGTAAGGCAACTATGTGGCAACACTTCTGATTTTTAGCTAAGTGAAGCATGACCAGATCAGGTTTATGTTTGATTAGTCCCATCAGAGGCCCATCTGATGAAGTCATTCATACAGATGGTTTTGTTACTGCCATCAACCTTGAGTTATGATGTGGAATCCTGGAGAATAAATGCAATCTCAAAATCCCTATGTAATATAGGGTAGTACTAAGCATGCAAACATGCTGTGTTTGGATGCAGGCTCTTAGACTGGCCCAGAGACTGACGTGTGATCTGACAAGGCAGTTAATAGTTAGCTACTTTATAGGCATGAGTTTCCTCATATGAAGAAAAGGTGAATAAGCACTGACCCATGCAAAACAGTTGGCACAAATTCCAGATATCCTCCTTTCTGTCGTGGGATGCTAGAAAGTCCTCAGAAGATTGATCCCTCACTTATATGTGTGGAAATCAAGGCCCCTAGAGGTAGACTCTTGGGAAACATGGTCAGAGCTGTTGAGATGTGGGCTTTAGTACTTTACTTAACACTGATTTTCTTGAATAAACCATCTCATAAGATGATTTCAATTGGAGACAGCGACAAGTCAGTCCCTAGGATTTCCAGAAGCCTCAAACTACAAGTTAGAGTTAGGTTTTCAATTTGACACAGGTCTTATTCCTTGTTATTTCTCATCCTCTTTCTTTTTTTTGGGGGGGGGGTACCGGGGATTGAACTTGGGTCCTTGCACTCGCAAGGCGGGCCACCGAACCGCTGAGCTAAATCCCCGGCCCTATTTCACATCCTCTTCAATTAACATACATTGGTTGGTCACTGGGCCTACGCATACATCCAAGTTTGGCTTATCCATACTAATTGGCTGAATCACCCTAAAAATAGTCCGGATTACTGATCAACCAAAGGAGAAGCATGCACACACCAGCTCTGTGGAGTCTCACTCATCAGTTCACCCAATAATGACCCGAAGGCCCATTCTACACTCGGTTCCTGGCCTGTGGAACAGGTGATCCTTTTCAATTTCAGCTTGCAAAGTGATGGATTTGCCCAACTGCTTTCTTATGAAGACTTGGAAAATCAATGACATGCACAGTAAAGTTCTGTACTTGATTCCTGAGAGAATTTTGAAAGCATGACTTCATGAGTCCATTTACATATTAGCAAAGAACAAATGCTACACCAGGAACCAGAATTCTAGATCCTGAAAGTGAAACTCATATTCCGTACAGCCTTTTTCCTCTTATGAGACTGTTTTAAAAATACTCACTTGTGAACTGCAAAAAGTCAGTTCTACCAGTCACTGAAGGTTTACTGGAAAGTGAAGGGGAAGATGGCTCTCCAGAAAGCCTCTAAGGCACTCTTCCAGCCCCACAGTATTTCTCAAACACCAAATATCCACACTGTGTCAACTGTCATCAACTTTCTCTTTTCACTAGGCTGCCACCTCCTTCATGACTCTAAGAAAACTATGGAAATATTTTAACCAAATTTTAGGAGAAATAATGCCTGGGCTGACTGAATTAGGAGGCACTATATGAGGAGAGGTTCAAAGCAATTTATTAAGATTACCTCAAACCCCATGATGCAAACACTGATTTAAACCCTTATTTGAATATGCTATTTTAAACTTGATTTGTGGCAGGGCAGAGAATCAAATTAAATCACTCATTTTACTGACCTGAGTCTCAAGTCTGAATCCTCCTGTGAATTACTTTTAATTTAAAAATTAGCTCTTGCCCTATAAAATAAGAAGCATTGAGGTAAAATGCAAGATAGCCTAACTGGCCCAAGAAACAGGACAGCTACTTCTATTAAAAAACCCCCCCCCCCCGCCAAAACTCAGAAGTATTAATAACATCATTTCCACTTCTAAGATCAGAAAAAGGCCTCTACAGTATAGCCTCAGGTTAGAATGAGGTATAGATAAGTATTGTGTTCGTCTATGCAGCTTTTTCTGAGGATTTTAAAGTTTTAGACGTAGGTAAACAAATATTATAAATGACCACCCAATTCAGTACTGCGAAGTCATTTAAAATAGAATGAGGTTGAGCTAGATTTAGACATAAAAAAAGATGTGATAGATGAGTTTCAAAAACGAGTCGCAGGAACCATTTTTTGGAGAAAAACTTAGGTCTATGCGTGGGTATAGAAAAACCTTCAGACACAGTGACATCATGGTGCTGTATTTAGCTATGAGGGTGTACGTACATACGGTTTTAAAAGTTTATAGAGATTCATACTAAATGTACAAATGATGGTAGGGAAAAGGAAAAGATCCTTGGTCTTTCACTTTTCTTGCCTTTGTCGTTATATTTTTGGCAAGAACATAAGTAACTTTTTAAATTAAACAAAGTCCAAAGTGATGAGCATTAGAGACTGTAACAATAGCTCCTGTGTGCCCTTGTAAAATTCCCGATTCTTGTGTTCATTCCACTTGGTACAAAAACGCAGCCACAACTCCTCAGACCTTCCCAGTCCTTGGAAGGCTAGGAGAGGAAAAGGCGTGGCCTGCATGGCTTTCACACTGCCAGAGGAAAACAGGGTGTAACCCCCACCGCCAGCTCTCCCACGTGTCAGGACTGTGCAGACGGTTAGTTCGGAGTCTTGGAGGAATCTAGCATCAGTCCTGCAAGGACGGGTAAAGGGTGTGATGAGCTCGCCCTTTCCCCCCCTCCTTCATCAGCAGCGTCCGCTTCCCAGTCCAAGTTTACTTGCTTGGCCCAACCCTAGCGAACACACCCGAGCACACGTCTTCAGAGGACTCAGGCAGGGACAGCAGTGATGTGTTCAAACGGCCAGGGAGTGCCAATGTTTGTCGGGTCAGTGTTCAGACAAATGGCAACCTAGAGCTACTCCCGAAGCAGCCAGGTGGACATGGGAGAGTGGACAAAGTGCAATTCCTTTTTGAAACGAGAGATGCCCTCTGCCTCTTAGGGCCTGCGAGGGGGTTGGAGGACTCGGGAGTTCCGCAGGGGCGCCGGGCAGCACTGGGAGAGTCGTCCCCGGGCTTACCTTACAGGGGAACAGGACTGCCGAGGCCACCTTCTCCATAGCCAGGTTCCTGATGCTGGGCGTCAGTGCGCCCCTGCACGTCGGGCAGCAGCTCAACTTCTGGCGGCATTGGTTACACACCAGGTGCCCGGCCTGGCACTGCAGGATGGGAGGCAGGACATAGTCAAAGCAGACCGGGCACTCGAAGAGCGAGGTCAGCTCGTGGTTCTGCGGGGACACTGGGCCGGCCCCGCCGCCGCCGCCCCCAGGGC